AGCTAATGAAATTAGTTCTATAAGTCATGCGACTGGCACTTTATTGATCCAAATGGCGACGTATAAAAGTCTTTTTTTTTCGATTTTGGTGCTGATGCAAATAAATTGACTGAATTACCAGATCCTAATTTGTAAGTGAATGTTTATTTAACCCGTAGTCTTAGCTGTATAATTTGTAGTTGAAGAATGTTGAAAATATCTTTATTTATAATAGGCCTATTATTTATATATTAATGATAGTAAATTTTTAATAGTAATAAATACACTATAACGTCTATATTTCTACAACAATATAGGTCAATTTGAATATCCAATGTTGCAATTAATTTTTTTATACTTATATTTTAGATTTAGTGACTTTTTAAAAATTGTTAAAAAATTGTCTAATTCAAATTAATAATTTGAAAAGTATTCATAATCTGTTAGGAATTAAAGGTTTTTGCTTTGTTTATATAGGATGAGCAAATGTATTTTCGAAAAATGTCATTAATTTGAATATTGTGACGACTCTGTTGCTGATCCCAGTTACATTCTACACAGATGATTCTGATTCTAAAGTTTCAAAAAAAAAAAAGAAAAATAGTCTATTGTCTAGGCCACATTCTCGTAGTTTTAAGGTAATGAGTGATTGTAGGTTACATAACTTGATTGAAGGGAAGGTCCTCTATTTTTGTACATTTTACTAATTTAGTGTAATTCATTTCTAGCCACAGAAGAGGGCGAAACAGAACCAGAAAAAAAAGAACAGAGAACTCGAAATGCGATGTAAATTATTGTGGCCATGCCAAAGTTTAAAATGCGTAGTAGCTTTACGAGTATGGTAACAAGGTGTATGTATATTCGCCATATTTTATTACACGACTGGTTTTGTTTTTGCAAAAATAAATGAATTGTGTATATTGTGTAAAATTAATACATTATTTGTTGAAGATAATTACAGAGTATTGTATTTATTTTACAAATACATTGAATTTAGTGGCATCACGATACAGTGGTCGTTGTGCGATCCGCACAGGGTGACACCAATATGAAAAACTAATATTTACTGGCCAAACAATGCTATATCCAGTTAAACTTAAAATAACTACATTTTAGAAGGAGAAGGGTGACCCTAAAAAAAAATTATTTTTGCTAGAGGTCGGATGGGTGACACCCTCAGTTACCACACCGGGTGGAAGAGATGCCTGGTAGAAACTCTGAACTTTACATTGGTATGCACAGGCCCTTCTTTCAAAGATGAGTAATAACATTACTTTTCATGTAATGTACTGTAATATATAATTTTTGCAATGGGGAGTTGGGGGGGGGGGTTATCAAAACTGCTAATTAATGACCAAAGTCAATCATATTTAAACGTACAAAAGTACATTATACTTCTGGAAAAGCTATTGAAACTGGCTGTAAAAGGGGAAAAGAAACTTCACTTAGAGTATTATACAAGTTTCGAATCTTGATATCTTTCGTGTTATTTTGTTCTATTTCAAAGGTGAAAAATAATTTTTACGAGCATCTGATGCTTCATAAATGCATAAAAATAGCTTTCAGGCTAATTGTTTTATGCCCTTTAAAATTTTAGAAATAAACTAAATTAGTTGAAACATTTTTTTACGTAAATCACACCCCATGAAATTTCAGATGCGCTTTTCTCAAAACTATACTCCTCTTCATACCTAATTGGCAGAAAAAGTTGAGTACCCTATGTTTCTTGACCTCGCGTACGAAGGGATGGTTAGGTCAGCGCTCTGCCACTTCGCCTTTACTTTCCCCAATGAAAGTCAGGTACCCATTTTAGCTGGGTGAATTAATGGACGTCATATAGTCACAAGTCCGAACCGAAACTCATTTTCTTGTAAACTAGTTATTAATATAAACATAAACATTTTTCATAACTCAACTATAAAATACATTGTACAAAGAATAAACAAACTATATTCGTCAAGTAAATCAACATAGATTTTCATTCCCGAAAATTAATCAATCCATAACCAATACGGTTTTTAAACAATAAAATCAACATGTTTTTTTTAATCAAATCATCGTGTGATTTCTAAATACATTAACCAGGAGCAGACGAAAATCACGCTAGAAGATGAAGTAAATAAAAGATAAGTTGAAACACGTCGGGTAGAGTCAATGATAGTTACCATGTAGAAAATGATGAGCTCAATATAACATGTAAGTTGACTAAAACAATGGCTGTACGGCTAGTAGCAGATGGTTTACAAAGTCCATTCTCCTTAGGTTGTACGTTTAGATACAGATTAAGTGATCTGACGTCATATTAATTTATATAGACAAACTACTTCAGTAGTATGAGGTACACGTACATAAGCCTTAGACAGATGTGTTGAGTGATTGTCCAAATACAGCAACAGTATGTGATGCCCGTACACCAGCCCTAGACAGATGTGTTGAGTGATTGTCCAAATACAGCAACAGTATG